AAGACATTATGTACTTCATTGTCAACACTCTCATCAGGGCTCACTAGGCTATAGGGAGAATCCACACTGAAAGAGCTACAGAGGTATTACCAGAAAACGAGTACTTGGAAGCTCAAAAATAGCCTTTATATTCCTTTACATCTTCCACTGAACTATTCTTTATATGATGCAGTATGAAAATGCTGCGCTGATAATGCAGCTCTAGGAATGAACATGAACATTTTAGGCCTCACATCCACCTATTTTTCACTGCTAGAGATTCACAGGAGGTCTATAAAAACAAAAATCTTACAGCAACAGTGCTCTTTGGCGCATAGCTATCTTTATTTAACTGATGTGATTAACTGAGGCAGAAAGATATTGAACTTTTTGTCCAAGGTCACACAGTGAAGTCAGGAATGGAGCTAAAGCAGACTCCAGCTCTTTCAGTTCACTGCTTTGTTTTAAACCAGCTAATCTCCCTTACAGCTCTTTCATGAAAAAGTACAAATGACTTGATACACTGTTACACTTAAAGGTGCAAATCCCCAGTGTAAAAAGAATGCAGGTTAGGATTTAAAGCAAGTGTATGAAAATCCCCTTTCAGTCCACAGGATGCAGAAATATTGCAGCACATCCCATCACTTTAATAATATTTCATAACAGAAGGGACTTGAGTCACATTTAGCGTACTGCCAATTTCAAGTAAAAGCTCTTAGGAATACTAAAATTTATGCAGTCAGCCAGGAACATGTAGCTGATGTAGACTCTTGGAATAATGTATTATAACCAACTTTTTAATTTGCATATGAACAAGGTTTAAAAAAAAAGGCAAAAAAGAAACCCAAAAGAAAAAAAACCACCTTAATTTCTACAGCATTTTCCAAGCGTTTTATGAATACTAAGTAAGCATCTTGACAACTCCATGACAAAATGGTACCGAGCAGTTATTTCAATAGAGAAGCTGCACAAAGATGTGAAATCTAAAGCTGTAGCTTCAGACCTAAGTAATAACAAGAAGTCTCTAATTGCTCCAGCAGCCAAAAATATACAAACATTAGTGAAATGAAATATCAATGCCAGCAAACTCAAGTGGTGACAGGATTCCCTGGCCACCTTCCCCTTGTTCCAAGGTTTTTCATTACAGATTTTACATCCTGGTCCATGCTAAAGCAAGCCAAACCAATGCAGAATAGGTTGTTTTCTTTTTCTTCCTTACTGAACTTAAAACAGCTTTCTTCATAATACACACTGTGCTGCATTTATCTCTACCCCTCCAAGCATTTTCATTTCTTTACAACAAAGGAGAAACACAACTTCATTTCTGTCAGACTTTGGTCCAGTTAGTAACTTTGACCTCCAAGTAATAGTGTGTACTGAAAGTTGAATAGACACCTGTTCTGTAAGAATCAGATTTAATTAACTTTTTAAGTCCTCTTTCTAGCTTTCTAGAACAGCTACCTCTTTACCACAGGTGTAATTTTAATTTTTTTTTTATTTCAATTTTTTTCCTTTCTTTTCAACTGCACCAGTAGAAACAGAGTGAAATAGCACCCAGCAAAAAATGTGCAATTTAAGAACCTGCATAGCAAGATTTGATAGTGTATTTTAAAAAAGGGCTTAAATGATCCAGAAACACCATGGAAATCAGTGGAATCTGAAGTCATTTCATGCCATTCTTATTTGTAATTTAAATATCTCAACAAAAGTTCTCAGCTGCTCATAGGATGTCAGCATTTCAAACCTTACAGTTCTGTGTGCATAGCAGAGTCTGAGGATGCCTCCCCTCCCTGAAAAGCAGCAGTCTTGTGTGACATTCAGAGACCTTTTTAAACAGCTCTTATTAACATTGCAAATAATCATTTTCAAGATGGGCATCACTATGACTGGTGGCCTTTTATAGGGGTGCTGCAAAAATAAGTAAAGAGTAAACCGCTGTTTATTACAGCAGATGTGGAGAGAACCTTCCACTTCCAAAGCCCACATATGAGAGGCAAACCAGGACAGAGAGGAAGAGGCACAGCAGGACACCAAGAGCAAGGCATACAAGGAGCCTGGGACCTGACTGGAGAGTGCAACTGGAAGACAAGAACAAGCATCACGACTGGACTACAGAAGGGCCTGAGGTGAGACCACCAATGACACAAAAGAATGAGCTGCACTCCAGCAGCTGAAGGCACGTGTGATTGAAGAGGCTGGCAGCTCACCACGAGCACAATCAGCCAGGCAGACACTCAGCAGAAAAGCGCCAGCACACAAGAAGGATGCAAGGAGCAGCAAGATCTGCAGAAAGGCACATATCCTACTGCATGTACTATTTACTGGGGACAAGTGTTCCACAAGCCAGAAATCTGCCACACTGAGCCCTTCAATCAGACCACAGTAATTTTGGGAGTGAGCATCTTCAGCACAGCTCTTTCCAGAGAAGTATCTTTATCCCACTACCTGCTTTCCAGGTCCAATAGAGCTCTTCACACATGACTACAAAGAAGCTCAAACCAGGTTTTTGTTTAGTTGTCTTCCCTACTACCACAGAGGAGGTTTTAATAAAGTATTTACAAGTTGGTTTATAATGAAGGGTATTTTTGGCAGAGAACTTTATTGACCTGCAGTGCTAACAAACTATTACCCGCTTATAGAAAATAGTTAGGAGTTCCAGTTCATTTTTAGCATTATACACTTGTTGTAAATGGTTATCTTATTAAAGTCTAATCCTCAAAACTGAAGAATTCTAATTCTTTCTTCAGCCCTAAACATCCTGCAAAACGAAGAACAGACTGAAAGGCCTGCTAACATTCACACCCAGTTTAGAGATCTGATGTGCCACAAAGTAATTATTACATTTGTTATGTAATTAAGATATAATTAACAGAACAGGTGATTGGCAAAGATTCATTATATACGTCAAATTCCAACACCTTCACTCACTTCAAATAGCACTTTGCCTTGAAAGCAATGACAGTGATTTCAATGGCAGATAAGGTACTCTTTAACAGGAGCCAAAGTGACCCAAATGGGTCCATTTTTGTAGTGAACTTGGTCTTCTTCTGTGTTTTTGAACAGACTGCACACACATCAGAATCTAGCACATGTAAACAGACAAGTTATAAAGAGATCCAGATCTCTTAACAGCAATGCACTATTTGCATGACACTTAGATGTTCCTTAACTACCAGAATATCCATCAAGTCCAAATTATCTTCATGGTCTGCATATATCCTCTTTCGGTAATGAAACTGCTGTTATGGTTTCTGCTACTCCTATTTTAGACAAAATTGTAACCACCTCCTATTGTAACCACAAAGTGCAGATGTGAGCTTCTCTAGCAATTCCAGTTGGGAATGACAAAAGCCAAGATACCTTGGCCACTTTATCCTCAGGGACAAGCTACAAACACTATCTGAAGAAACAGATTAATTTCAGGCAATGACTAGTCTTGAGAGCATCTGCAGTTACTGTACGTAGGCTTTATGTGCTTGGAGAATCAATTAATTTGCAATTTTTACAGAAAACAGGGCACAGAAACATAACACAGTTGCCTGTCTTCCAAATGTACCATTAGTGAAACTGTTCTGAAGTCAGTGTCCAAAACTCACAGCCTGTGCTTCCACTAGAAGCAGGCAGATACTCATTTTCACTTCACAAGTCAGACATTAAACCATTACCAGGGAAACACAAACAGCATGACTAGGTCACTGAGGAGCAAGAGATCTGGGAGACAGGAAATTGGTTCCCTCCTCTGTGGTTTTCTTTTGTTACCCAGAAAAGCCACCAGTTTATACATCCCTCAGTTCCTCAGCTCATCAACAGCTGCTTACACACATTGTATAGTTATTACAGTTTTTCATGCAAGTAAGGAAAACCAATGAAACTCCCCTTATATAGAAACAATTGTCTTTCATAAATAAAAGCCACCATGATGTTTGCAAGCAGAGGTTGATTTTAATGTATCAGGTAATAAACAAGCAGACATATGAAAAGGATGTAATAGGCCCAAATAAAATGACTGCATCTTTGAATGTTTTAAAGACCAGTAACATTAAACGTGGAATTAGAAACGAAACTGAAACCACCATATTGTGTACATATCTACTGATTTACCATCCTATAGTTAAAACTAAGTCAGATAAATGGCTTATGCTCTGTTTACAAGATGTTAACCCAGTAGAGAAATATTTGAATGTTACCAAACAGAAAAGGCAATAAAGGTTTGGATAATGCCTTTAACCTGTGCTTTCTACAATGAAAACTCTGGATCTGAAGAAAAACATATCCTAATAATTTGTTCTCCCCTTCAAACATTCATCTGTGTGATTATTTTCCAAGAAGATTGGTGACTTTCCTCAAGTCTGCAACTAAAACATTAAATCATAACACGAAAAACATACAAACCCTGATTTCACTGCCTGCATCTCGCCTTTCACCTCATTGTTCTTGTGCACAGAGCAGCCTTCACTGTTTAACAGAAATCTGCAAACTTTTCGAGAGAGTACCTACGCCTGTCTTCAAATTGCACACAGTATTTACAGATACGTAATTATACACCCCAAGAAATGAAAAACAAAAGCTAGAAGCAAACAGGTAAGAGAACTTTGACACACTTTTTTGTTTGCTTCCTTCTAAAAATCAAGTTTCAACCGAGGAGAATGCCACAGGCTGCAGTAAATTAACATGTGATCACACTAGCATCCACAAGAAATAACTGTTCATTCCACGGCTCTGAAGTCTTGCATTCTTATATTTGTGAATCCTTTAACAGATATTTTTGCCTAGATAGCTTTCCTTTCACATAAATGCCATCACAGTATTTTATAATCTGGTTTAGGTAAGATCAGAAAGGTTGCTAAAGGATTTGTAAATTGGTCCACCAAGGTCAGTGTCTGACTTCGTATAATAAGGTAATACCGACATGTTCCTAATGAAAACAGCAGGCATGTGGCAGCCATACCACATTTTGACATTTTAATTCACTTAGCACATCAATTTTTTATGCGTTATTTATCACTCAAGAAAGTACTTACAGGGTCAGTAGGACCACAGAAGTCTCTGAACACTTTTGAAGGATCGAATTGTCTAATCTCCATTGCTATGCACGGGCCTGAACACAACTCTGAAATCATCTCCTGGAAGAGAAAGAAGACGGAAAAAAGTTGAACACTTTGGGTTTCAGCCAGGGTTGCATTTCTCCCCAAAACAAGGCCCAAACTTATAGGAAAGGAACAATTAAGAAATATACATTTAGGAAAGTGAGGACACTAAACAGATACCATTGGTACTCACCACAAAAGAAATGTTTTCCAATTTGCTACTTGGTTTAGAAGGAGGAAACTGAGAAAAATTGGATATTCAGCTTCAACAGGATTCTGAATGGCACATAACAGCAACCTCAATACTTTAAATTCTTTTGTAGGTACATCCTTATTGATCTGGATCTAGATTCCATGGCAGTATCTCATAACTTGTCAAACTAGACTGAATCACTGGAATGCACTTTGCTGGCTTTTAAACTTGAAAAATCATGCCAGTTCCATGGGCAGCAACGTAATTTGCAGTGTTCCCTACCAGAAGCACAGTACACAGCCTATATCTGTTTTCAAATATACACTCATTCAATGGCTTTAAGTCATTAAAATGTCTCCTGGGCTTTTGGTTCTCTCTAGCTTTTCCTCACAGATTACTACAGAAGGTAAAACACACAAGGCAACAGAATCTGTGCTTGCGGCACAACCTATTAGGGAAAGGGTCTGGCAACATTCTTGTAATGTACTAATACCAGGATCTCAGTTACAGTGAAATCATCTGTTTCCCTGGAGTCTCCAGGAGAGTAAAGAGACATCGTGAGTTCTGTGTGGGTGATGAAAACTGGTCTTGGTTTTCATAAGCTTAAATTAACTCTGGGCATTAGTGCCAATTTGGAGTTTGTTAATTAGAGGTATAGCTTTCACAAGCAGAAAGAATCTATTTTGATGTTCTAGTCTGGCTTTCTTTTTAAATCATGCCCTTATAATTGCATACTTGTCTAGAAATCTGGACAGACAAGTTTTAAACAAATCAAGACAATTAAAGGAGTCAAAATCAATGGGGAAAGACAAAAGGACAAAACATGCAGCGAAAGTAAGGGAGGATAGGTAAGGACTAGCAAGGCTCTGCAACCATGCCCACCAGCCACAGGCAGATCAAAGATGAACCATGGCAAAGCATACAGAGTGATGAAAGAGCAGAAGGAAAATAACAGCTAAGTCCTTCTCTTCCTTCTATGAATCGTGACAGAAAATAAATACACAATGACTCCGAGTCAAGCAGCACTGTTCCAAAAGCTGCTATCCCCATACTGGATTCCATACTGAGAACGTGTGCCTAAGCTCCCCTCTCTGAATTTTATCCAGTGCCTCTATCATCAACCAGATCCTAGGAAATTTAGGTAGAAGTATTCCTTAAGGACATGAAAAGAGTGCAGACTAGCTTCATGCTCTACAACATAAATAAATATTTTAATTCCAAAAACTGTTTTATCACCAACAGATCCTCTGTTCAAAACAGGTAAAAGCCCATGTATTTCATTCTGCTAAGAAACAGTAAACAGTTTCTCCCTCTTTTATTGTTTCTGTCTCAGCACAAACATCCCACCAGCAACAATGAACAACAACATGACTGAAGTTACTCCTGACTCCTTCATTACTGCACAGAGCTGAAGACCTGAAGACCAGCTGCCACCAGGCACAGCACAGAGGCAGGTGGTTCTGTGTCAGACAAGCCTGATCTACTTATGCAGCCTCATCAAGTCCAGAGCTGAGTCTAAATAGCAGACAGCGTTTGTATGGTGAAGATCCCAGTTACAGATACTGTATTTTCTCTGATACAGATACAAATTTTCTCTGGCAAATAGTTTATTCATCAAATAGCATGGTTTGTGGTCAGCCAGAACCACTCCGGGAGGTGGATCAAGCTCAAGGACTTTTGATTAACAAAGTGGATTCTAAGCTGAAATAATCTCACTTCTTTTTCCCCATTTTCTATTCTGGCTGGAGTAGAAAATACAAAGCAAAACAACACAGAAACTAAGCAACAATACGTAAAATCCCATGTAGGAGATACTAACAAAGCTAAAATTTTGGGCAATTGTACAGCTTTCTCTTTTCACAGAATACTTTATATACAATGTCAAACCTTTATCTGACTGACAAGAAATAACCAGAAGAAATTGAACTACAGTTTTTTTTAAGTATTTCTGGATGCTAGTATCTTCTCTGCTGAGTTATTTTGGGATGATAAATAAAATTTAGATCAAAACAGATGTTCTGAGTCACATATAGAATTGGTCATATTCTTTTTCCAATATCCTATTTCGTAACACACTTTCCTATTTGGACTGCACCGGCAATATCCATTGCTGTTCTTATGTGTGCCTTCTCCAGAACCCTTTACCATCATGATTAGCTTTTCTGTTTTCCTGCTTTTTAGAAATTGAGTGCATGAAAACATTAATTTGATTTCTTTTCGACTGAGTCAATCCAACACATATAATTTCCAGGACAGAGCCCCAGATTCTCACTTTTCTTGACATCACCTACAACGCATTTTATTTATTGACTTACCTTGTTTAAATGTCACCTTCCCTTCTGAGTAACTCTCCAATTAAATTATATAACTAAAATTTGCAGCTTGTTAGAGGGTTAGAGATTGTGCAGCCCAAGAGCTGCAGAAAATGGTAAAAAATTTCCCATTTTGTTCAAAGCAGAGACTTTTGCAGCACTACAGGACTCCTCAGACCCTGAAATACTGGTCAGATACTCCCATTTTTAAATTCTGCCACATACCCACAAGTATGCCTGTCCAATCTCCCTGTGGTACTTGTCAAAAATGATGTTCAGAGGAGGCCTTATGAGTATTCCCCAATCTGAGAGTGAACAGCACTCCTAACCTATTTAAAGACAAATCTACAAACGCCATTGAAATGAGTTAGACTGAACTATCATAAAGGAGAAAAAAAAATAATAAAAATTTCATTTTCAGAGTAATATTAGTAAATATGTAGAAAACTTACAATAATGTAACCATTTAAAAATTAAGGATAATTTACAACATAATAGCAAGGCAGTGAAGCTAAACTCATTACTATGAGTAAATTACACAGTAAAGTAAAAATTACTATGAGTAAAAGGAATCAAAATCCTCTGAGACAAGGTGATCCAGAAATACAAACTCATCTGCTTGTATTCCCATTGTTCTATCTGCAGTCAGGAAGTTTTACATGACAGTACAAGAAAGCATAATACTGCAGAGAGTCTCAGATGTCCACTGGGATTACAACATATCACAAACTTCTTAATTTTTCTGAATATTTACAAAAGTCACATAAACCAAAGAATAGTTGAAGATGTCATTAGGAAAGCCTCCAACACAGCAGCCTCATTGTAAATAAAATTAATATGTATTTTGGTCCAAGCCACTCTTACAACATCCAATCAAACAAAGATGCAGGTGTGATACATTCTCATACCTCAACATCAATAAAATAACTTTTCTGGGGGAAGCCGGAGACATGACTCTGTTGTATTTTACAAATTCCTCCGCTGAACAATTTTCATGTAAGGCTCTCCTTGATTATGACACACATAACACAATTCTCACAACAAATTAATTTATTTGACAACAGACTAGAACTGTTCAATACCAGGTTCATAAAAGAAACCACATCACATTCCCAAGCAATAAGAAACGTGGTAATTTCCTCACTTGAGCATATTTTATTTTTAAACAGATTCCTGTTAAACTTATGCTTACCAGGTATTCAGGGACAACACCTTTGTAAATCTCATAAAATTCTTCCACATTTGGACGCTCCATGTTGAACTAAAACAAACAAAATGTTAGCCAGTCTATATTAAACAACAACAGGAATACACAGACCCATTCTTAACCAGCAAACATTCAGAATCCTCTAACTTTTACTAGGTAAAAGGAATGGCTTTATTACCACAATATGAAGCTTGTCAGCAACTTAGTGATGGCACAAGCAACATAGCACACAGTATCTTTTTCCACATCAAATACAAGTAGACAATGTAATGTTGGCTGATCCCACTAAGAAAGGGACTATTCTTCATTTGTGATAGGATCTGAGTGATAGGAGAATGTCAGATCTTGAGACTTTCACCACAGCTGAAGGGTAGAACTCTTGGGAACAATCTCTGTGCCAAATCCCTTCAACTGCTGAGGGTATTCAGGATGTCAAAATCCCTCAAGTACCTTTAAAAGTATTCCCCATAATTCATACTAAATATATATTTTAAAAAATTAAGGAAGTATATTAACAATAGTTTAATTGATCTTAGCTAGTACATTTCGTAAAGATATCTCAAATTGCTCCAGAAAAGGCAAATATAATTACCTCCCTGCTAACTATAGGGAAACTCAGATACAGGGAAGTGAAGTATCTTGGCTCAAGGTCACCAAGCAAACAGAAACAGATTAGCTGATCAGTCAGATACTAAAACACAAATATAACAAGGACAATGCTGATCCCAAAACACTGCTACAGTCTGCACAAGAGTTTTACACTGCAGGAAGACACCTGTGCACTGCTATGACATGCATACAGCACTACTCCAACTTCTGTTTATCATAAAAACACACAAAAGGAAACCTACCATCTGCAAAGCTGAGATCTCAAATCCTTCCTTGAGGATGGCTTTTATAATCTTTCCAGAAAGCCCTGAGGAAACATGGAAAATACAGTATTCAATTTCAAAAAGCAGATTTTACAACTGAAAGGTATTATGCCAATATACTGTTTATTCCCAAAATGAAAAAACAGTGTTTGTGTAATGCTTGAGAGGAAGAAGAGAACAGGGCTGAGTTCACACACTCTAGGTTCTATATGAGCTTACATGTTGATGGTTTCAAATAATTAAACTCCATGCAGGTGTTGAAGAGCATTTCTACTAAAAAAGGTAATTAGTGAAGCCTTTGCTTTCTCAGATCAACTGCAAAACACCCAGTTGCTGCAAGACCAAGATTTATATTTTTAATGAAGACCCACTGGCAATACGGATGCTTAATCAGTCACCAATTCAGAGCACCAGCTGTCTTTTTCTTTCTGCAGGTCCTACTTTAAGCCAGAAACAATGCAGGATGATAACAAATGTTGCCAGTAAACTAGCACAGGAGTTCATGTCTGCAATGGGAAAATCACATTAGTGCAAAATAACCTATTCCTTCAAAGTTTACAGCTCACAAATATGCTATTGCTGATGATACTGTTGCTTATTCTTTCCAGAACACATCCTAAAGACTGAATGATGTTGTAAAACAAAACATGGAACTTCAGAAAACAAGAACCACTGATTTTCCATTGAATGTATATTTTAGATTTGCCCATGCTTATAAGATCAGGCCATTTTGAAGATTATGTCAGCCAAGGACATTACTCTGTGCGAGTAAATTTCAGAGAATCGTTGTTTTTTTTATAGAACACAAATGCCTGTCCTCTAGCACAATTTGCAAGAAACTACAAATTTCTGGACATTTATCTAGAAAATAATTAATCACAGAAGAATACCCTGTAACAAATGACAACAGAAGGATGTGACTCCTGGTCATCAGATCCTTTTATTAATAGTCTTTAAATTGCAGGATATTTAGCACTGCATGAATTTAGGAGATGAGAATAAAACAAAGGTAGTATGGAAGTTATAGCATATTTGAGACACAACCTTCTAATACCTGTGGCATAGGACTGGGGAGCTTCCTACCACATCAAGAGGTCAGTGGAAGCTCTGAGTAAACGAGACTGAGGGTTGAAAGGCTTTCAAAAATTGTATTTACAAATGAAAATTTTAAAAACCCATGTCTCTGAAGTATTTTCTATTACATTTTCACACTAAGGTTTGTGTAGAAAAGCCTTCCCTCTACAAAATAGTGCACATTTCTTGCAAAAATCTTCCAGCTACTGAAGGGAATACTTGAGATTTCAGTGCATACTCATGCACTGAAAATACATTCAGCTCTTTGTGTTTATAGAACATAGAAACAAGCAGAGGCAAATACAATTCCTATCCCACTGTTGTGGTTCATTTTGGGGAGGGGGCACCCCGGGCTGTCCCTGGAGGGCCCCCTAGGCTGTGAGCTGGCTGGCAGCAGCGGGCAGGCAAGGAGACTCCACATGGCTTCTGAGGGTGCTGATTGATGAGGGATTATTGGGGGTCCCATCCCCAGGAACAGCATGGTTACTGAGGGAGAGAGGGGGGAAGGGATGGGAGGGGGAGAGGGAGAGCCTAGGGGATGGAAGGAGCAAGAGGGGAGCAGAAGGGCTAAGAGGGAAGAAAGGCTAAGAGAGCGACTGGTCTCGCTAGCACAGCTTAAGAGAGAGAATGAAAAGGGGCACGGAATCAGACTCGGGCCAATGGGATTATGGATACAGGATGGTTCAGGGCAGGACCACAGGCTTGGAACATACCATACATTTTGGAGGGGTGAGACTATACAGTTCCACCATGTTTTGGTAAAAGTTTCCTTTTAACACTCCTGTGAACCCAGAGGAAAAAAAATCCCCCTTTTTATGGATTGAAAAAAAATTGCAACCACGAAATGAAGGGACTTGGACAGGTTTGCCCAGGAAATGCAAGACCACATCAGAGAGAGAATCCAAAGCTCTGGTTTCTTTTTGTCCACCCTGCTGGAAAGGCTGAGCATCTCAGATGCTTCCACACAGATTGAACTGAGGCAGTGAGCCTTCACTCTTGTTTTCAGAGATGAATGGGCAGTTTGTAAAGAGATAAGTGACTGGCTGGGAATCATTCAGGAAATGAATAAATAAATTGAATAAATAAATGAATTTAATTAATTAACTAATTAAATATGTGACACAGCATAAACATTTCCTCATTCTCAATCTTCAAAGACAACATTGGTCAACTGCTTCACTAGAAACCAGCAGCAGAGATGAAGCAAGGGCACTGGCAGATAAATGGTCACTGTCACTTGCAGGGAAAAAGCTATGAGAAAGGTAAGGGACAGCTGCTTTGCCTGACAGATGTCCATTTCACACTTTATCAGTCAAGAATGGGCTACTTGCATAGGCACTCTAAGCCAGCAAGCATCTAATTAAAATACATCAAGTTACAGGGTACTGTGGAGATCTGCTTTTTACAGAACTTTCGTCTTCAGCAGTTTTACACGCTACAAATAAAATCCATGTTTTAGAGAAGCAAAGGGGGACTCTATTCAGCTTTCTGGGCTGTTTCTCTACTGAAGTCACTAAGACCTATCTCTTGTGTAGAGAGGAGATAGGAGACTTTAACGATAGAAATGAAAGTAGGAAGGCATTTTGCATAAAGGTCTTTAATGCAAGGTTTCTTTAATAATTGTGATAAATCTCTCAAGATTTTCCACTACATTGTATTTCTGAGTTCACTCTCACTCATCAGAGCAGCAGAGCACTTCATTGCTCCAGAAAAATTGCCTATGTCTGCAACATCCAAAATGCTTAACCAAAGGACTTATTGCCACCAGTCAGACAGAAAGACACCTCACCCACAAAATTCAAAGTGCCTTGAGGAAGAAGGGCCATGAGGTTTCATTTATGTTTGCAAAGCAGGATGTCAGCTCCGCTTCCAAGATGTGGAAATTGAGGCAAAGGAGCATAAGCAAGTTGCCAGTGGCAGCACAGATCCACAGATCCAGTGATTTGCCAGTGTCCCAGTTTGGGCAATCCATGTATCATTCCTCCTAGGGACACTTTGCTTTCCATTTTCCTTCCAAATTCTACCTGAACCAAAATAGAAACAGCAGATCCACAGATCCAGTGATTTGCCCTCCCTTGTCCCAGTTTGGGCAATCCATGTATCATTCCTCCTAGGGACACTTTGCTTTCCATTTTCCTTCCAAATTCTACCTGAACCAAAATAGAAACAAAAAGCACAGAGGCAATCCCCAAGCAGCAATAATGCAGGCTCAAGGCTCAGCTTGGGATCTGTCTGAGGCTTTCAGCCAGCTGCATGACTGAACTGGGACATATCCTCTTCTTTGGGGGCAGATAAGGCTCAGGAAAATATGAGCTAATTAGAGTGCCATTTCAGCAGCTTTCAACAGTTCTTTTCAACTTTAAAATCCAAATCTGTAGTGAAAAAACAACTTTCCAAGGACCCTTCAAAAAGGGTCAATGGATGTTTAAAATGTAATTACAGTAAGAACACAAATCAAAGGCACAGATTAGGCACCAGTTATGATGAATTTTCAGTCTTAAAGCACAAAAGAATCCCAAGCATTACTAAATACAACTGAGGGAATTTAACACTAATCCAAGCAAAAAGAGTGAAAGAAAGGGAGCACGAGCACACATTTTTTGTCTGCTGGGCAGCATTGTATTACTACATACCTAGTACAGGACATAATTTTCCAATATAGACAGAAATAATTTTCCAATGTATTTTAATCAGGTAAAATGATAAAGTACCAAGACTTCCTCAGTTACATTAATATTATACAACTTGTTGCTTTACAACATACAGTATTTGAAAATTGTCCTTAATTAAGAAACAGAAAGTAGCAAGGAAGAAATCAGACTGAAAAATGTTACCACTGAAAAATGTTTCACACTGAAAAATGTTTGCAGAATTATGCATTGGGATAAAATAAAACAGTTTAATGCAAGTCACTTTTAACTTTAATCAATGAGCCACAGCAGCTGTGCTACTGGGACCTTTCAGTCCCAGTGCACTATGAACCATCAGCCCTAGGAGTAGGAATGTTTCATTCTCTTCCCTTTCTTCTTGACCTGTTTCCTAATTTAACCATTCCTCTGTTAAAAGCTCATTAGGCAAGACAGCAGACTGCTTTCAAAGCAAGGCAAGAACTAGATTCCTCATCTCAGCCTCCATATGTAATTTTTTAAAAATCCTTCCAATAATTAAAAATAATTCCTCTTAAACATCAGGGGGTTTTTGACAGGAATACAAAAACTGCCATGGCTGATCAGATTGATGATCCACCTCATCCAGTAACATATTTCTAAAAGTAACCTGTACTGGGTGCTTAACATATCAGTAACTATAAGTAGCAATTTAATTTCATGTCTTTTTCTGACATTTTAAAATGCAATTTTGCTTCATAGTGTAATGAAATAATCTGATTCTTTACTGCCAAGTGGTAAAGTCCTATTTCAAAACTCCAGAGAATCACAATCAGGCTTGACTCCAAGCAAAGTCCTTTTTGAACTCTAGAAGATGGAAAAGTGGGATTTAGAGTTGGGCCCTCCTGCAATGCATTTCAGTTGAAGTTCTTGCTAATGTTTGTTTCAGACAACACTGAAAAACACTGGTCAGTAAGTAAATGACTAATGTCCCTCTCAAAAAGTGCACTTCTTCCTATCAGTTGGTCAACCTATACCCTGAAGAACAAGGTTTCTCTCTTGTCTTCTTTTTGTACTTAGGAATAACATAACTCTAGGCATTTTTACTATGCAGCATAAATACACCATTTTAGACTCCCCAAAAGTTTGGTCATGGTAATAATCTATAATTATTGGTATCCAGCCCCACTGTGTACTGTGTGAAAAAGGATATGCAGTCATTTTTGCACTGTGCTGTGGCACACCAGGGAATGACAGAGGGTCTCCTGAGTGGCAGCAAAGGAGAGGGGGACCTCAAAAGCCACCCAGGCTAGTGATGAGGAGGGAAAAAAAAAGACCAGTGGATACAGATGGGAGAAAGAGGA